ATAAAATACAATGGTCCTTACTGCTGTTGGGGTACTTTTATATTCAAGATTTAAAATTTCAGATTTCATAACTTATCTATTTTCCAACTACATTATTCGTTTCATAATTACTACATATTCAATATTACATATTTTGTCATTTTTACATACTCACTATAACTTTCAATACATAAAAGTACAAAAAAGTCTATGTATCTCATAATAAGAAAATAAAAGATATTTATGTTCAAAATCCACTTCCTTATACATTATATTCAACAACACTTGTTCTCTTTCTGCTTCTACACTACAATACATTTATATACTATTTTTAAACTTTCTCATTCTAAATTTGTCTCCTGTTTGCATAATACACACTCCATCTCTCCTCAAATCTCATAATTGATCTGTTTCTCAAATAGGTTGTTAATTTCACCATTACTGCATAGTACGCAAATTTATTTTCCCATTCTAAGCTATGACAGACATCTAATTTCCATTTTGCTGCATAGATAATTCTAGTCGCTGTCACCATATATTTGAATATCTCTTCCAAATATCTGGGTAATTTATTAGGCAGTATAAATAGGTACTGCTTCAGTGGGAAGGTAACAGCGTTCTGTGCGCCTCAGCGTTTAGTCATGCTGGCTACGACCATGGAAATGTCTTCGGACAGCGATGGCTCTTTGGCTTGGAAACGGAGATGAGCACCACCCCCTAGAGTCCAATTCAACTAGCTTTCAAGCAAGGGAAACCTTTGCCTTTATACGCATAGCATATCTTAGCTTCCATAGGGAATTTAAATTTTAATATGTTCTGCATTTTCCCATGTATTTCCTTCCAATATCTTTTTGTTTTTTTACAAGTCCACCACATGTGGTAAAAGGGTCCATCTATGTCTTGACATTTCCAGCATTTTCCTTTGTAGTTTTTGTTTACTTTCTCAATATCCTTTGGGATTATATATTATCTAAACAACATTTTCTACCAGTTTCCCCATAACGGTTCCCATTGATGCATACATATCTGCTCTCTAAAATTCTGCATCCATTTAATCATGTATTTTTTTCACTTCTTCTGTTTCTAACTGAATTAATAACATATCACCGTAGTAAATGGTCTTTTTGTTTTATAATCAGCTGTTTGAACTCAGTCACCTCTCTTAGAGCTCCACCTTCCATGCTGATAATCTTTTTTAGTTCTGAAACTGATTGATAATATACCAATCATTGAATGTTGATTCCTTCATCTCTAATATCTTGCCAGGACTTGATTAGAGCATTCACCATATTGCTGTATGTTAAAAAAACACTTTTATTTCTCATGTTCTTACCATTATAAGCTTCTATCTGAGGCATGAACAGAGAATTTGGAGGGCTCAAATTCCAGCGTTTAAATCATATTCTCAAAAGTCTCTCTCTAATTATATGACTCCTTTCTTGTGTTATGATTGTTTTCATTTCTGAAACCATAATTAATTGTAGAAGCCTTCATCTAGGTCTGTTGATTCAAGTTTTACTATTCTTTATCTAATAGTTTTGGTAGTACATTCATTTTGATTGCAGAAATTCTTTTCAGCCATAAGATTTTTAATTTTTTCCCATCTAGATAAATCTGCTTTTATCAATTTCCAGATCTTCTGATAATTGTTTTTTTAAAAATTACAGTTTTCCCCAGTCACATTTATTCACAGATATTTAATGGAATCAGTGGCTACTGTACATTCTACACTCTTAATAATATCTTCTTCTTGTTGTTGCAGTAAGAATTTTGTTATCATTTTTGTCTTCTTCCTGTTGATTTTATATCCTGCAAAAGATCCAAATTCTTCAAAATGTTCTATTGCATACTGTAACGATTTTTGGGGATCCAAGACTGTTAGAACCACATTGTCTGCATAGCTTTTCATTTTACATTCTACCTAATACACTTTTATTCTTTTGATCTTTGTTGTTAAAGTCTCTATCGCGAGGATAAATAGTAGGGGTGACAAGGTACAGCCCTGGCACGTTCCTTTTTTGATTGAAATGGCTTCTGTTAATTTTCCATTTATTAAAATCTTTGCTTGTTGGTCCGAGCATATCCCTTGCATCCAGTTCCAGAATTCAGGGCCACGGCTCATATTTTGAAGTACATTCAGTAGAAAAGGCTGTATTAAATTAACAAATGTTTTCTCTATATCCAGAAATAAAAACACTGCTTTCTTTCTTTTCTTTCAATTTTTTATTTGTTTTTTTGCATTTGTGTGCATGCGTGCCCATGCCTGGACATCATGGCAACCTCTGGCGACTTCAACTGGGGCACAGAGCACATTCAGAGAAGTGATCTGATAGTGTGTCTCTGGCCTCCCGGCCCTAGTATTCTCTGGAGGTCTCCCATCCAAATACTTGCCAGGGTCCCTACTTAGCTTCCGAGATCTGATGAGATCAGGTTTGCCCTGGGCTATCCAGGTGAGGGCTCTTTTCTTGTTCACAAATTCAACTGCATCTATTATTAATCATATTATCTTTCATACACCACTTTGGTACAAAGCCCATCTGATCAGTGTGTATTAAATTTGGTATACATTTTCTTAGTCTTTCTGCCATTACTGTGGGAAAGATTTTATAATCTGCATTCAGTCAAGAGATATGTCTATATGACTGGTAGAGTTGCATCGCTGCCTTCTTTATATAGTAACATTATATACACCCCATTGGAGGCATTCTTTTATCTCATTCAAAACTTTTTGTAATGGTATCATTAAAACTTCTTCAAAATGTCTGAAATACATTGCTGTCAGTCCATCTGGGCTTGGTACTTTATTCTTTTTCATATTTTTGATTGCCTGGGAGATGTCTTGAATTATTATTTGGTTTAAAATTTTCTGACAAACTCTGTGGTCGGGATGTCTTTTAGATATTCTCATTCCTTTTCCTGAGATATTCTTTTTGCATAGTCATGAAAGAGCGTTGATAAATTGTTCTTGTACTTCTTTTCTACATGTGTAATGTGACTCCTTTCTTTGCACTTTATTACTCTTTTTTCTTTCTCCTTCCTAAAACAGTATGCCAAATATCTGCCAGGTTTTTTCGCATGTTCAAAATGTCTTTGTTTTAGGAATTTCAATTTTTTTTCTGTATCTCTCAATTTCTAACATGTCTCCTCTCTCTGCTAGTGTGTCTTTATTGGAGCTTTTTGTGCTCTTGCTCCAGTCTCTGGATTTTTCCCCATTAGTACCTTGGTTTGTTCTGATTTTTCTCTTTTCATCCTGGCGGCAGCTGCTAATAAGATTCCTCTACTAAAAGTTTTGCTTGCTTCCCAAATTGTTGCTGAGGACATTCCTCTTGTATTATTTTTTTTTTTTAAATTCCATATTGTTTTTACACTTGCTTACTATATCCCCTTAGTTTTCTGTTCCACTGCTGAACTACTTCTTTGGATTATGATTTGCAAATATATTTGGTTGAATCTCTGCTTTGTCTAGATTTATTGTCAGACTTTTTGATATCCAGCACATATCTATTCTTGAGTAAGTTTGATGTCTATCAGAAAAAAATGTAAAATCTCTGTCTTTGGCACCCCATCCTTTGGCTTGATCCTTCAGGCATCTTGTAATTTCAGCATTTCCAAATATTGGAATATGGTTTTTGGTAATTTCCCACGTTTAGAATTCCTAGATCTATCCTTCTCTGGATCTAGTACTCCGTTCATGTCTCCAAAAGCCATTGTATCTTCATCTTGAAATTCTATCATAGTTCGGAAAAAAATCTAAAAAAAATACTTTTAGCATTGTTTGGCACATATATTGTTGCTTGTGTGCACACCTTGCCTTCCAGGAGTCTCATTTTTAAGATTAGATATCTTCTTTCTGGATCTCCTAATTGTGGGCTGTTAAGATAAATGGCTACTCCACATTTTTCCATTTTGAGTTGAGGCAAGATATACTTTACCTACATTTTTATTATTTAAAATATGTTTTATTATTTAAAATATGTCTCTTCTTTATGTGAGTTTCTTGTAGCCATAAAATATCCGTGTTTTGCTTTTTAAGCTGGTTGAAAGTTTTCATACGTTTTGTGGGAGAGTTCAGTCCATTAATCTTTACTGATACTATTTTTAATGTATCCATTTTGTCCTGATGTTGATGCCACAGCCATTTCCTCTTCTGAGCTCTTAGGTGAACTTTGCTTTGGGTTACTTGAAGATTTTCCGTCAGTTCCTCTATGTAGATCCTCTGCTTGCAGTTCTTCAGCCAATACCTGTCCTATTGATATCCTATCATTAACAGCCTTGTCCTATTGGTAATGATATCCTATCATTAACAGCCTTGTGATCATAACCCCTTTGACTGCATGGTTAGTTGGTACCTACCACACATTTCCCTTTAAGCAAATTTTCATTGATCATCAAAGCATTTTTGTAGATATCACATACTGAAACACATTACGATTACTGCAGAGTCCCTATTAGGACCTGAACCCCCCCCAAAAGGGCTCCAAACGTGACACAACAGAGTGCTACATAGTTTACTAGCAGTGTGTGAGTGCTGCCATCTAGTGGCAAACTGACCAAACTTTATGTATAATCTGGTACAAACCCAGATGGAGCATGAATTCAGTCATCAGGGGAGGCACGCTAATTTAGAGAAGGTATTTTTGACCTGGAAGGGTCAATGGACATTTAAGAGTAGTTGCACTGAAGAGCTGTAGATAAAGCCTTCTTTGAGCTTCAAGTAAAGGAAGGGACAGGTAGATGGGGCTTATTCTAGTAAGCAAGAAGGTAGGGAAACGAGGAGCTGATGAGGTGTTTCATTCCAATAATTGACCACATGAGTAATTATAATGACTGGACAAACAAAGCAGAATGATTCTTTAGCTCTCAGTTGGGACTCCCACAAGAGTCCACATGGACTTAACCTATCTGTTGCTCTTCAAATGGTTTTACCAAGTCAGTATGATAAGCACCAAAAACACACAATGCACTTCTCCTACAATCTCAACCAAAGTGAACATTCTGAAAATATACCATGGAACACTCACCTCTGTGTCATCACTGTAGATGTAATAGAGGACTTGGATAAAGATCTCTTCTGAAATGTTATGAAGTGTCACAACGGGGATGCTGGGCTGAGTTTGCAGCTCCTCACTTTCAGAGAAGTGATCCTCCAGGAGGGCTTTGAAGTAGTCACTGCGGCCACAGAAAAAAGCCTACAAAGCAAGGGGAAAACAGGCCTGATAGAACAGAAATAAGCATGTGGCAGGGCCCAATGGGATGGGAGATCAGTGGGAGTCCTTAGAGCAGCAATGTAAGTATGAATCACTATATCTGATTGTCTAGGGCTGGCCCACGCATAAATAGCTAAATCCATGCAACGGGGCCAGTCACGACCCTCCTGTCGGGCTCTGCACACCCAGAGGAACCAGCAAGTTTGCAAAAGGATATTACTTCTGGGAAAACAACTGAGGATAAGATCAGAAACTCATAAAACCTTACCTGCAGCATCTGCTGCATGTTCGGAAGCCACCAGAGTTTGGATGCCATTCTGGGTTGGCAGCTCAAAATGTTATGTGAAAATTGAAAAGGCGGCATTGGTACTCCAAAAAGGAAGGGTAGGTGGTGATTGGGGGAAGACCTTAAGATGAAGCAGGGGGGAGAAAGAGAAGCTGTACCACAAGTGCTGTGGAACTCTTTGCCTTATGGGAGAGGGACACACTCCAAACAAGAGCACTATGAACAGAAACATGATTCTTTAAAACCCAGAAGCACCAAAATTCAGACTCACAGGGAAACTACCCTACTGGGTTAGTGGTAGGTGAGGAGTAATCTTTTTTACTCTCCAATAATTAATAAACCCAAACATCAACAACATCAACTCCATTGGGCAGTACTCTAGTGCTTCTGAGATTAAAGAGCTGAATTGCTGTTTCATGCTGTAGAAATGTGGCTTTTTAGTCACACAAGTTCTGAAATTCAGTTCCAATGTGAAGCTGCTCTATAGGGCTGAAATGAGGGCAGGCGGGCAGAGTAGGTAAGGAATCTCCTTCCTGCCCTTCAACCCAAAGCCCAGACCTATTGGGCTGAATTTTAGCTCTTTAGAGTTTAGAGACAGCTTGCCATTTCTCTACTTTACAAACAGAAAGTAGGATCTTTAAGCCTCTGAGTTTATTGTTCTGCAAGTAAGAACCAAGCAAAATCCTATGGATGGTATTCATCAGCTCCACAATTCATGCCCCATCCTGCACTGCTAATATTTGAAGAATTCAAGGGTCAGTTGAGGAACAAGCTTGCAATTAGACATTTTAGAAAACATCACTGACTCTGCTTCTATTTACAGATAACTCCAGGGTGACCAGATGTCCTCTTTTTAGAGGTCGTGTCCTCTTTTTTTTTTATGTTCATCCTCTTTTGGGCTCTTTTTAAAAAAACTGATGAAAGCATCCTCTTTTTCTGTTGTGAGGCTAAGCCTATTTTCCCTTACAGTCCCACAGTGGAGAGAAGCTTTAGTTTTGCCACCAGCACTACTTCCTAGCAATGCTCCCTCTAAGCTGTGAAGTCTTGTGAGCAAAAATTCTACTTTGTGAGCTCCTGGCATTAAAGTTGTGAGCGAGTGATTTGGCTACTGCATAAATTAGTTTGCTCTGGAGCCATCCTTCCTGAGCTGAGACAAAAACGTGTGAGCTGGAGGCTAAAAAAACTGTGAGCTAGCTCACACTAACACAGCTTAGAGGGAACAGTGCTTCCTAGTATGCCTTTTGAATCGGACCTCCTATTTCATTGTTGTGTATCTGTCCTTAACTCCTCCCCTCCCCATATCAATGGCACATAGTCCCCATCCAGTGTCAGAAAGTGCAGGGGTCCTAGACATTCCTAAAAAAACTGTTGTTCTTGTTAACTGTGCAATAGCAGTGGATCATCATGACTGGAAATAGTTAACATGTTTTTAGAGGCCTAGCAGAAAATAAGCTAGTTTGATACAATGTTTGGGTTCTCTGCTAGAAGGTCCTGCCTGTGTGAGAGAGAATTGAAGGGCTTGCTTTCTGATCTGAATGCTTTGTGTTCACGTGCTCTTTACAATTTAATCATCTTGAATCTCAAATCTAAGTAAAGCATCTTGTTTATTATTCCAAGACTGTGTGGACTCAGTTATTTTGGTGAGCTCTGAGATCTGGCTAACACCTTTCTCCCTTGGAGTGTGAGTTTGCACAGAAGACTTTTCATTGTATTTGCTGCCTTCTGCTGCTGGTGAGCAACCACATGTGCAGGAGAGAAGCCCTTTGGAATATTCAGACCAGCAAGACAGACAATGAAGCAGCTCAGAAATGAAAATGAAGCAGAATGCACTACATGCAAGAGTTCTGTGTCTGTGGCAAACAAAGGAAGTCATGATTTGGAAGCACATGTCAACAGTGAGAGGCACAATAGATGGTTTTTGCATCCCAATTGGTTTATAAACTTATTATTGCTATTATGTATATAATATCAAGTATAATATAAAAAACATCTTTTTATATTCTATCTGACTTCGGTATGTACTGTTGTATATGAAAACTTTAATAAAATTTATGTAAAAAAAATAACAGTGAGAAGCACAAGGTCCAGAGATGTCTTAATACCTCAAAGGTCAGTTAATTCTTTATCAAACAAAACTGAAGAACAGCAGTCAAAATTCAAAAACAGATGACTGAGTTATAGCGACTGAAGAAACATTGTCATTTCATACTGGAAAACATCACCTACCATATATGTCTATGGATTGCACTTCAAAATTAAATCAAGTGATAGATTCTGATTCAGACATAGAGAAAAAGGTTTCCTGGGCAAGAACAAAAACTGGGGCCATAGAGTGCTTGCTCCACATTCTGTTGCTATGGCAATTCAGGATTTAAATTAAATATTCTGTTTAGGTGTTTCCACAGATGGCAGCAACCATGGGTCACAAAAACTATTTCCTGTTGTGATACAATGCTTTTATAAACTTCATGGTATTAAATCAAAACTGGCAAAACTGATACAGCTGAATGGCATATCAAATGAAAAATCAAAACCAATAGTGCACTGTGTTACGTAAGGATTAAAAGACCATGGTATCCTTACGAAGTGTGTTGAATTCTCCGGTGACAACATGGAGAGGAATTTTGCAATCTTAGATGGCACTCCCTCAGTCTAACCCATCATGCTGAGTTGCTGAAGGTGACATGAGATAAGGATTTTCAAGTATGCTCAGTTTAGTTTCAACAATGAAAACGATTAGTCGATTAAAAATTACATTTAGCATTACCCTAGTGTCTTGAATTTACATGAAACTTTCGCTACATTGTTATTCACATGCTTCAACCAGAGAACTACTGAATAATACGTACATTAGACAATGGTTTGGGAGTCAAAAATTCTTGGGCATACCCAGCCTTTTTGACCCTGTGGACACCTTTGGAATTCTGACATAGGAGACAGGGCCAACTACAAAATATCAAGAGTGCATAACTCTCATAGTAACTCTTCAACATTTCAGGCAGAAGCAGGGCTTAATAGGATGCCTTTTTAAATGAAAATGCCATTTAAAAATATTTTCTTGCATACACACAACTTATCTTCAGTCACGTAGGAAAGACCTTTGTGCTTTGGTGGCAGCTGCTCCTAAACAGCCATTATTAAATACCTGTTCAGCTAATCAGTTCTCCAGTGGCCAGGAAGCCCTGCTGGGCAAAAGCCCCATCTGGCCCTGCCTGGGGGTGTTCCTGGACGCCTCGCTAACTATGGAGGCCCCGGTCACTGCCACTGCCAGGTCTGCCTTTTTCCATCTGAGACAGATCAGGCAGTTGGCCCCAGGATCTGGCTATAGTGACCCATGCAATGGTCACTTCCGGACTGAATTACTGTAATTCTCTCGACGTGGGGCTGCCCTTGAGTCTGCTCCAGAAACTGCAGCTGGTGCAGAATGCAGCGGCACGGGAGTTGACTTTGTCTGTGCGGACGCGGATTCACCCAGTGCTGCATGAACTGCACCAGCTGCCTATTGAGTACCAGATCCATTTCAAGGTGTTGGTGCTTACCTTTAAAGCCCTATACAGCTAGTGGCCTGCATATCTGTGAGACTGCCTCCCCTTCTATGAAACCCGAAAGGGCTTTACAATCTGCCAACCAACATCTTCTGGTGGTTCCCGGCCCCAGGGATGTCCGCCTCGCCTAGGGCCAGGGTCTTTTCAGCCCTGGCCCCTGACTGGTGGAATAAGCTCCCATATGATATCCGGTCCCTGTGGGACCTTTTATAGTTCCACAGGGCCTGCAAGACAGAGCTCTTCCGCCAGGCTTTTAATTAGGGCAACAGACATCCCATTACCATCTAAGGACCAAATCTTGAAAGAGATGACATCTGTGAGGCTTTAACTTTAACTATAACTTGCACTGGATGAATGATGTTGTTGTATTTTATTGGCGTTTTAACAGTTTACTTAGATGCTACTGAATAGGAAGGGGACATGAAGAATAATTTACTTTGACCACAGAGATTTAAATTCCTCTTATCCTTAAGATGTAATCAGGGCATATAGGTTGAGAGGTCCGAAGTAGTCTGATTCGTTGACAGCAGAGTTACAGCCTTCTAAGTCCACTGTGAGACACTGGCTATAAGAATCAGAATTTTAGACCACCACCCCCAGTTTCCATGATGAGACTGCTGCAACATAAGTGATTGGCTGGCTGCAAAACTTTTATTTCCTGATGTGAGGCACTACGCAGCAGTTTTTAGAAGAATGCTCCATTTCTATAGCTCACAGCCAAGCATGGTAAAACAAGTAATCCCTTCCAGGTTTTTCAGGCTTGTAAAGCTATGGAGACATGATCTGTTATTCTGAAACAGGAAACAAAGTAAAGATTGACTCTCAGGGCAGATTTCCCCTTTCTGCAACTTACATAGGCCCACAATGCTAATCAGCATCACAGTTCTGGATATTTGTATTACTCAATACAGTCACCAGTTCACCAGACTCAGAATGTGCAGATGCACATAGCAATATTCTCATCTGTCTGGTGGAAGCCCATGTCATGCGGCTGGATCTCGATCACGGCTAATGCCACATTCACATGACACTGCAGTTGTGTGGTTGGGGAAAGAGCCATGTATTTAATGGACACCACCCCTTAGCAAAACCAGAAGGCCGTGTAACCCTGCATCCTTGAAGGAACTGACTAGAATAAGTTCTGGAAGAAAACATATCAGGGTGGGTTTTTTAATGGATCCAGCCTTATTCCTTGCAGTTTTGCTACCATGCAGATTATAGGAGTGCTGCACTGGCAATTTACAAATTAAGGTTTCACTGCATCTGATATTCCTTACTAGCATAAGGAACTTGCTTATGAAAGGCAAAACAAGCCAGGATGGGATTGATGGGGATTTCCTTAAGGGATCTCCCCCCCACCTCCTGCCCCCCTAATTGGACATGAAGCAATAACAAAATACCTACTAGTCTCTTTTGGAATGGTATAGGGAATATCACAATAGCCTGCCTAATGATACCACTCTCTTGGCATTCCAGAAACTATGAAAACTGAATTAGTCAGGAGGGCTTTTTCACACAGGTAACAGGACTATACTACAACAAAACAGTTCAGAAAGATGACTGCCAAAGGGACAGCAACTGTGGATTATACTAGTGGTATACATACTGTCTGTTGCTATAAATATGATCCTATTATATAAGTTCTGCATCGTTTAACATGCCATGTTAATGCTTATGTTTTGTTTTAGCTCTGTTTACAAACATCTGCTTTGTTTCAGATTTCTGCAATCCAAATACTACTGTACTGTTTACTGGATGTCCATTCCTGTTGATTGTATGAAACATGCCGTGTGAAATCCACCTTGAGTCTCAGTGAGAAAAGGCAGACTATAAATAATGTAAATAATTTTTTAAAACCCATGAAATACCTTACTGGATACAAGTAAGAGGGAAGGCCTGGTAGAATAAGTTAATGGAAGCACATACCTTGTGGCACAGGAAATTGTAGTCTGCCACGCGGAAACACACATCAGGACAGCTGTTGAAGCTATCAGTGTTGTCAAAAGGCAACTCTCCAAAACCCACCTGCGTAAAAAGGAAAAACAAAGATCTTAAACAGTTCTTTGATGACTTCCTCTCCAATAAGATCATGTACCCAAGATGCATTTCCCTCTTACAAGGAAACCAATAATATTATTTTACATACAAACAATAAATCCTGAAATATTCCCAAAACTCCTAGTATGCTGGTGCTGGAGGATGGCCAGCCTTCCAAAAACTTCAGTAACCTGATTGTTTTAGAAAACTCGATTGCATAGAGAGGTGCCAGAGGAAGGACCGGTTTGTTTAACTAGGAGCAACAAGGTCCGTGACCATGCAACAAGAGAAGATAAAACACTTTTAGAGATGCCGGTAAGGCCCGTAAGAATGGCAACTGATAAAGGCTTCTTATAGCAGGTACATCTCTTTAAAACCATGTCTGCCTTCCACCAATGTATAAAGCATAGCAAAGCATCTACATAGTAGGAGGGCCTTAGACCAGTGATGTAATATCCAGCACTGCACCCATCTTTTCTCACAACCTGAGCACTTCAGACATATCTCACATGCAGGGCTTTTTTTTTCTGGTGGGGGGAATGCGCTGAAATGGAGTTCTGGAACCTCTTCAACAAAATTCCTTTAAAAATGTTTAAAAGCCCATGAGTTTTCAGTATACAGGTTGAAAACTTCATTTCCCTCTTGAGAGTTCCAGCATTTCTCCCCCCCCCCCAAAAAGCCCTGCTCACATTGTGACTGGCAATTAGCATGTTCTAAGCTGCAAGAACATTGAAGCACTGGCTCTATGAGTTTGGTTGTGGCACTAGGGTTGGCAACACTGGCTTAGGAAATACATTGTGGAAGTGGAGCCCGGGGAGGGCAGGAATTGGGGAGAGGAGGTGCTTCAATCGGGTATAATAGGTCATAGAGTCCACCTTCCAAAGTAGCCATTTTCTACAGCTGAACTGATCCCTTGTGCTGCAAGATTAGTCATAACAGCACATCTCCAGACACCACCTGGAGGCTGGCAACCCTAGGTGGAACCAAGGGGAACCTGCTACTTTTGTAAGCCAAGAAAGTATGCAAGGACTCCCAGTGAAAAACAATAATGGTCATTCACTTAACAACACGCCGTTTCTCTGCCAAGCCGTTCTTAAAGGTAAACACTCTCAATTCGGCCATCTGACTCCTTTTGCTTCCAAACAAAATATCAACACAGAGTTGTTGCTAATCAGGATATTTGACAGTCCGAGATACAGTAAAATCAGTCAAAGACGTTCCTTTATCAAGACTGGACTTATCGTTCTTTTAGCTTCTCAGATCGTGATTTGTACTAGTCTTTACCTTAAGTAACTTCACTGCAGCTTGTGATATGCAAGCAGCCTCTTTTGGGGGGATAAAATAAAAGTACGTTACCCATTTGCTAAGAGGCTGGGAAGCATAGGGGGCAAGAGATTCTGCTGCACATAGCACATTTTCACACGTGTTTGCAAAAAATAACCCTCCCACCACCACCACTTTAACAGGGCCCTAGCAGAAGCAGATATTCTGAACGCACCAACCAGGGTCAGCTCTCTGGCCAAGCCACCCAAACAACCGCTTGGAGTAGCACAACGAGGAGGTCACTGGCACAGCCCCAGAGCTTGGCACATTCCTGGTCACTGATGATGATTCCTGGACCTATGATACCATCTAGGGCCAAGCCGAGCCATACTACAGGGGCTTGGCTCAGACACAGCCAGAGGCAGCACAGGAGGCAACAGATGTGTATCTTGTTTGGGGTGGCAAAATACCTTGATATGGCCCCACCTGTATCCCTTTGACCCAATACTACCTTCCAACCCATTCACAATAAGCAACAGAAAAGGTCCTACCAAATAAACAGCTCATTGAATACATTTATTCTCATTGCTCTAATGTTGTAAAGCGGCAGGGGGAAGAAGAGAGGAAGAGAAGAGGAGGAGAACTAGTTTCATGGCTCTGAATACAGAATTCTGCAGTCCTTTTTTTATACTGCTGTATTATGAACAACACCACGAAAATATTGAGTGCTTTGTGGGACACTCAGCTGCAGGGGATTACAGTCAGAACCCAAATGTTATTTGTTACACACAGATGCCATCAATAATTTGCCTTTGTAATCTGTCTCGTTGTTGCCCAAGTATTGGGGGACAAACAGCATCTTATGCACATGTTCACCATTATTTGTCATAGTGCAAAACAAGCATGTTTGTTAATTACTACAAAGCAAAAATGATAACCTGGACATGTCCCACAACTTCGGAAGGGAGAATGTGCAGTTGTGAACTTCCAAATTAGCCCACTAACACATCAGCAAAGGTTGGAAAAATATAAAATGGTAATGTAGGGGTAAAACGGTGAAAAGAACTATAATGATGTTATAGAGAATATTATACCTAGCCTTGAGAAAAAACAAAAGTTGACTAAAGACAGGTCCAAATATATTGCCACAGTTAGGCAACAGAGTTTGCTGTAAGACAGCATGCTCCTGCCCCCACTCCAAACATCTAGTGTTAAACCATGGCTGACTGTTAAGTTGGAAGTAACCTTAACTAATCCAGGCTCTGAAACCCAGTTCAAAGAGAGCAGAGGAAGGGAATGTATGCTATGGCCTGCTCCTGAATTGCTTAACCAAGGTCAAATTGGTAGGGCTACACCTGGCACTAGTACTGAAACCAAACAGTCCAAGGCTACACGTTAATCAAAATATATAAAATGGGGAAAGGTTTTTCCCACCGTTCTTATTTCTCACTAAGGTTTAAGGTAGATCACATGATATAAACAAACAGTGTAAGACAATGCAGTAGGACTAAGATTACAAAAGGCAAACAAGGAGAAGAAAAGTACTTTCATGAACACATGGTTATTTCTGGTGTGGGGCTGGAGAAGAAATCTGAAGAAATTACTTGTGTGTTTGGGTGCCTAGGCTGGGAGGGGCATAGCACAAAACAGCTGAGCCTATAAAAAGACTGACCTTCTTGTAAAAATCATCTAGGAAAACAATTCTCTCCATGGTTGTAAGGGGCGGCCAGCACAGAGGCAACCCGACACATAAAAGAAATCTAATACAATAAAGTCCTTTCCTTATGGGGAATTTCCCGCAGGGGGTTGACTTTAAACACAGTAAAGCAATACACTTTATTAAACTGTCCAGATCTATAGCCCATAGGAGGGCCTGAAAATGAGACGTGTGTTTTTATTCGTATACTTTTGCTATGGATCCAGGAAGAAGGGGGAAATCAAATTAAAACAAAGAGGGAAAAAGATTTTACACTGAATTAAAATAAGACTCAAAACAAGGATAGTGATCGATACCATCCGAATTCAGTGGCAAGATACATGTACGATGTGTGTCCGTGTGTACCCTTACAGTATTAAAAAGCTGTCATATTATACAAGTGAACAACAGACTTAACCTGTACCTCAGCACTGAGGAAGACCAAACATCCAAAACCATACATTATATCCCTAAGTCCAGGACAAACTGGATCAATATACCTAAATGCACATTAACACACAACACCATCTTATCTTATTGTTTTTCCAGTTTAGTCTTCCTATAATTACAAGGCTAGAAACTAAATCCACGTGGGCAGCCTAGAAACTGCTTTGCCTTGAAAACAAAGATAAGGCCCCAGTTTTGACTTAACCACTACATGTAGCCCATAGAACTCCAATGCTGAATTACTGGGAGAGAAGTAGGAAAACATGACTGCTGTTTTCGACTAGGCACACCTTTTAGTGCATGTGCTCTTGGAAAACCACATGACATCAGTGCTGGTTCGAGATAAAGAGGTAGGACAGCATCAAAATGCAGGTGCAAGAAGATCAAAACAGCATCAATAAATAGAGGACTTAAATGTTCCCTGAAGAGAAAAATTAGATGTAGCTATTGCTCCTGAAGATTGCCCATGAAATGTGCTTGACTAGAGGGCTGATTTTCATATTATCTGCAATACAACTGGTTCTCTCTCCGACACCATGTTTAAGTTTACCTCTTTCTTGCTACTGCTTGTTCCAGCATCACATGGCAAACAACAAGGAAAGAGGCTACGTATTCGTAAGGTGGTCCTCTGACAGAACGGAGGTAGTTCCTGCCTTCATTACACAGTCACCTCTTTGGGGGAGGGAACCCCTTTCTCACATTTCCAATTCTGCACCTGAAGTTCAGAACCACAATGCAAGCAGCAGGTGTACAGGTATGCCCTTAAAAGAACTCTTTCCTGAAGCAGAATGCAGACATGCATTTTAAAAATAGAAGAGCTGTAAGGGGATAGGGAGCAGAGGCCAGCAGATGACTCTTCATGTTTCTAAACAGGACTGGTATGCTGATGCTGTGGAAGCAGGAACTCCCTGAGCTCAACTGTAAACGAATAGCATTTGGCAAGACTTCTATTGCAAGCAAGCAGTCAGGGCACCAAACAAAAATACAAGCCAAGGTAGACTAAGATCTCCTCTTCTTTGAAAAATTACAGTACAGCCAATCATTTACTTCCCTGTTCCTTCCTCAGCTGGGGAAATGCAAACTTTCATAGAAAGAGACATCCAGGAATCTCTCAACCTGTGAATAAGGAAACATCTGGAAAGTAAGGCTGCTCCCTTCAGTATTAGATATCATTACTATCCAACACAGAGTGCTGAGCAAGCTCTTAAGATCAGTATGCGCTATTAGTACAAAGAAACAAGCAACTACAAGGCCCAAAGACAGTACAAAAAAGCAAACAGTAGATTCACAGATCTCCTGGAAGCTCAAATGCAAAGACCCAGGCAGCCAAGGAACAACAAACACAACAATCAAATATTTCCTACCCTGAGTTCAGCTGGCAGGGCGCAGTCTGCTAGTAAAGCCAGGTCTTCCTGCAGCCGTGAGTTACCTGGGGGCTCAATCGTCAGCACCTTCACACAGGTCCCTGGCTTGGAAGAAACTGGAAAAAGCAAAACAAAAATCCAAAAAAAAAAAAAAGTATAGAATCCTGAACATACTTTGGGGATGATCTTGAAAGGGTGGGGGGAATCTGGACATATTTTAAATTTTAAAGACTTCACACAATATAAAAAATGACATAAATCCTCTCTTATATACACAGATCTTAGGAGAATGTGTTATCATATTTCTTTAACTAGGGTGGTGGCATGCACTATGGGCCTTAACCCACTCCTCTGAAAAGTTTCGGTTATGGAAAGAGCATTTGGTAGTGTTGCCATTCAAAGTTCACCCTTGGGCCCACAGCATTTCATTCATGCATCTTTGGCTCAATATTTTAAGGTATCTGCCCCTATCATGTAACAGGGAGACGCAGGACTACATTGCCAGGGGTGGGGATGGGAGAGAAGGTGGAGTGGGAAACACTTGCAAGCTAGTCAGCTGAATATGCAACCTGACAGCCAAGGAATGTGCATGTAACTGCACATAATCTTCTGGTTTTCATTGGACTGATGTGCATGCTCAACTGAACCAATACATTCTGTCAGACACCAATACACTATCAATACCACGGATGAACGTGTTTTTGGTTGCATTTGCTGGCAACCAACAGCACGTACTGAGAGAACTGAGCATGCACAAGCAGTGTGTGACAAGCACCACTTAAGTTACTCACATGCTTGTAAAAGAGTAAACCAGCAGATTACATGTAGCAACTTTAAGCAAGAGTCTTTCACAGACAGCTATCCTTAAGTAGCATTAGTAGAAATCTTAAGGCACAGATCTTAAGAGGTGCATTTAGACACTGGGAACACACTTCAATCGCCACCAGATTTACCTCTTGAGGCTGTTTTGGCACACTGTTATTGAATACAAAAAGATACAAAATGGCTTCCAGGGTGATCTCTATTGAGTTGATCTGGATCGCATCTTTGACACTTGAAAATTATTTCAAGGAAGGAAAAGAAGTGAGCAGGTAAGCACCAATACTGCAATCTACCTTGGTAAAATAACAATCTGTAGATGTTTTATCATTTACAACAAGAGAAACCCCTGTACCTGGAAAGTGTACTATATTGGGTGCTGGCTGGGAGAAGGTAGTCAGAAATGGTCAATTTTCAACCTATCGCAACACTGATCTTCAGGTAAAACATAATACTATTATGCCCTGTCTTGTACTGCAACAGTTTAGAAATTCTAAAAGTAGGTCACAATAACTAGTAATGCCTACACTCTTGGTTGCATCACTCACCCCTACCTGCAATCTGAGAGCAATACTAGTAACCTGCCTCATATTATTACTACAAGAATCCCAGAGAAGTGCTCCAAACACGCAAAGAGCAGTGTGATGAGAAGCCAGTCCACTGAGGCCGGTGTGGGACTGATGCCTGGGAGACTGAGATTCAAATCCTTACTCTACCATGAAGCTCACTGGGTAATCCTGGGCCAGTCACTTTCCTTAACCTACCTCACACGGTTGTTTTGAGGGGGAATGGAGGAGAGGAAACCACGCTTGTCACTCTCAGCTCTTTCAGGGAAGACAGAAAAATGCTACAGATAAGAGAAATGCCTATCTAAAAAAGGCTGGAGGCCCTCCAAGACCACTGACCAAACAAGGCACCTCAACTGCTGGCACTCACTCCCAACCTCTGCAGAACTGACCAAAGCAAAGTAGACAGTTCACAGTTGGATAAGCCTGTGTTTAAGTTCTGAAAGAGAACAGAACACTATGTCACAAAGGCAGTTGAGGGTAAGGACTGCTATGCTGTGTGACCACCAAAACCGATTGAACTGACTGGAAGCAAGCAAGCTGGCACACCACAGCAGAGACCATGAAGGAGCCCGCACCCAGCCTAACCAACATTTAAGGTTTTTTTTAGAAAGGTAGGTCTTTTTGTTTTCCCCATTTTTTGAAGATGACCTACACAATTCAGTAACAAACAAGGCTTCTCTCATTTTCTCTCAGAGGAGTCAAGAAAAATTAATCTGTGATACAGGCCACTGAGGTAGAAGAGATTATTTAGCATGTGTCTGGGCACTAACCAACCAAGCTGACATGGCTGGTGTCCATGACTGCTATATAGATTTACAAAATTCTAGTATAGGAACTAAAATGACAATATGAGTCCTTGTCCCATGAAGGACATACCTTCATGGTTCCATCTTGTAAACAAGCAATTCTATCTTGTGAACAATGCAGTTGGTTGCAGACATTATTACATGCATATTTCCAAGTCATTCCCATAACTATAAGGATTAAAAAAATAATTTTAAAAAGCTGGGTTTCTACATTGGATACATAACAGGCAAAATAAAAAAATAAATAAAACAGCCTGAATTTCTACTCAATATGGGAAAAGACAAGCATGTAAATCAGAAGAACTACAGCAGAAATTCTGAAATATGGGATTGCTTTTGAACAGAAGAGCTTGCTGGCAAAAATAAAAGGCACCATGAATAACTCAGCAGAGCAGAGCACGTTGTGATCAATATCAAATCATTAAAAAGCAGTCTGCATTTATGATGAAGTATTGATCCTAGCTTGTGATTATTATATCAAATTATTCATGTGACTGTCTCCTTGTTTGCTGTGGTGGCATATTTCAGGGAACAGTCCATATTTGGTTAATACAAATTTAACAGTGAGGGGAGGAGAAAACACAATTATCTGTACCCTTTAGAAACTAAGTGTTTTATTGTGAAGTGATCTTTGGAATCAGCAGTTGAAAGCCCCCACTAAAATATATTAAGTAAGCACCAGGGCCATTTAGACACTGCTAGTTTGCATTTAAGAAGACAACAAGAGAGAGAGGTTTCTTCTGTCTCTGGTTGTAGCACAATCAGAGGTGGCTTGACAAACGTGACCCAGTGGACTGGGAACATCTCTTCCCTCCCCCACCCGCAATGTTCGAGTGACTCACACAACCAAGAAACATCCCCATTCTTGACATTTTGCAGATTACGACCTTGGGCTGTGTCATTTTACCGGATGAATCTCAGCCCTACCAGAATGAGAGTACTGGATGAAATGAATCCATCACAGTACAACCCCTGTGATGCAGCCATCAGGTGTATCACCAGTGGAAGCTGATCTACTGCAGAGTTACCATAAGTAATACTGGGCACAGGAAGTTACATCCACCTCAGTATTGTTTCAGCTGCTAGTTGACAAAGCACTCCTCTCACCTCATTGTCATTCTACCACTTCCTAACTGAAAACAGGTTACAACCAGTCAGGCCCTAGCCAGGATCTTGCGGCTTGTGGGGCAAATTTTTTTTCTGATGGGGCTGAAGTTTTTAGTGCAGAAAGAAAAGCCATTTAGCCAATAGAAAGCTGTTACCAGGATAGAGCTCTAAATTGCAAGCTGTCAACCACTTTAGATGACAGTTCCCAGCTGCTGCAAGTTAATCACTTCTGCCAGCCTAAGTAACAATTCTGATAACAAGGTGGGGGTGATGACTTCTATAGTCAAGAAATCGAACACTGAGGCAGAAAAACTCTCTTAAAGGAGACCAGTTTCTTGACACAGAATTAGACGGTATCCTAGAGGTCACCTACTCCAACCCCTTGCTCAGTGTAGGAATTAGTCAACTACGCCACCCCACTCTGCTTAAAGGAGAAATTCTTGTGGGGCTGTGCCTTTAAGAAAGGAGGCGGAGCCCCCAAAAGCCTCACCATAGGTACGGGCCTGCAACCAATGTAATTTTAAAAGATAACACCTTTACTATCAGCACATACTAAATTATGAATTTCACCACTTAAAACTTTGTTCCAACAAGCGCAAGGGGAACAGAAAATATCTTGCTTGAACTCCTTCCTCTTGCGGGGACGAAACTAACTTGTCCATATGACTTCCAGAAAGGGGGGGGAAATGACCATACTAAAGTTACAAGAGCGCAGCTGGTACTCAACAAGGAGGAAAACAGACTAAAATTCAAGGCACAGTGGCATTCAGGCCACAGTGAATCATATATTAGATTATGCTGCAAACAATTATGTTTGTGTTTCCATTCAGATCCTACAAGAAGCCTTCTTCTGTCAACAGCCATTATCTCTGTCATTACCAAGTTGTTAAAAAGGGGGGACACAGACAGCCAACGGTTTTGGGAAAATGTGAAGCATACCCATTAATTAATTATCCTAAGAATGAAACTAGGATCTACACCTTCGAAACGTAGTATAATTCCTAGAAGAATTCATTAATTTGCATGGTTTGTGATAAAAAAACCCCGGCTTCCTGGTTTGGTGTGGATTGGGTGAAAATTCCAGTGAACTGCTGGAAAACTGTGGAATGCCCTTTTACGCACCCAAGTGGTGTGCCTAGCCAAATGTCATTTAGGCAGAGTCCAAACATTTTTTTACTTAGGCTTTTAATTGAAGTTGAAGGCTTTGTGTTTCAATGCTGAATTGCTTTTTATCCTTTTAGTCATTTTAAGCAGGTCTCTGGAGAGAGTTTTATTACAACATTTTCTAATTTCCAATTTCTAAACCATACATATTCAAGCAACACATTTAACAGGAAGGATAACACTACAAGACATGCATTCACACATACACAATGAGGCAGTCCCCCCCCCCCAATACTGCTGAGAATGGACACCATGTCCCACTCTTAGCTGAGAGAAATTCATGGCCACAGTTCTGGAGGAACACATTTAACTATGAGCTTGTCATTTGTTTGTACTTTCTTACCACAGTGCTTTACCAATATTTAGATTTGAAGATTAGGGTGAAGTCCATGAACAGGATCCCTGAGTGCCTAAAGGCAAGTTGAAGCATCCTGCTCACCACAGAAAGTCAACATTCCTTTTTTGTGTCTTGCAGTAGAGTGAAGCTCAATGGGAACTAGGTAAGAGTCTATCCCATTTCTGCCAAAACCTTAGAGAAACTTTTGGCAGACTTCACAGCCAACTTATGGAAAGCCCCTAAGGTTTTCAAGTCAAGAGACTAAGAGAGATGGTTTGCCATTGCCTGCCTTTGCATAGAGAGCCTGGTATTCC